GGGGCTGGGCGGCGGGGCAGCCGCCCCTGAGAGCGGGATGGCGCGCGTTCCCTCACGGTTCGTGGTTTAGCGACCCCCGAGCTGACCGCATTCTGTTCCCAGACCTCATGTAATGCTGACTTGAAAATCGTAGAATCATAGGTTGGAAAAGACCTCGAAGATCACCAAGTCCAGCCGCCACACTGGAGCACACATCTGGTGTGTGGCAGGGCTGTACGCCAGCGAGGAGAAAATCCCGCTCTTCTGCTAAGGAGCGATGAGCTGAGCCCGATGGCACCGGCAGAGCTGCCGGGCTGCCGTTCTTGCAGGCACCCAGGAGCTGGCCAGGGCTGACGGGAGCACGATGCCTGCGGGCAGTGCTCTGGCGGTTTAACCGGCGTCTGGCTTCTCCCGTTGCCGCTTCCACAGACCACACGAGGTACCACCACACGAGAGGAACGCGAGGTTTGTTGCCAGGCAGCACCCCAGGCCTGTCGCACCGACCTGCAGGCCTAACAGCAGCCGGGTTAGTGCTGACCATTTAAAAATAAAATCGTTTTTGTTTTGGGTCAAGCCTGGACCAGAAGCCAGCACCCCGTCCCCCTACCCCCACAACGATTTCTGTTCTGATCTGTTGGTTGTAGCAAGTTTTATCTGATTTCTTTGTGTTTTCACCCTGGATTATTTCCTCAGTGAGAGGAAAATTAAATGGCAGGGAAAAAAAGAACCCACAAATACTTACCCTATAAAAATGTAACGGGACTTTTACAGCCTTACTGATAAAGGTGGCTGCCTTCCTGCCGATCTGTTCTCCTGCTCTCTTGTTTTTAGGGTTTTTATTTTGTTATTTTGCTTATCTGAGGCCTAGCGTTACTTCTACTGAAACTCCCTTAGCTGCTATAGAAATAATTATAAACACGGGCCTTTTCTGCGCTCCGTTCCCACCGTCAGCTCAGTGAAACTGTAAACATCAGGTGTTAGCAGCTCTGGGGCGGACGCCGTCTGAAAAATATGCAGGCAACTTCAGAAAAATGCAGTTACTTAGAAGAACTTAGCTGAAAGGAAAATTCACTAAAAGAGGATTGGTTCGGTTTTATCCAAACCCTGGACACTCCTAAACTCCACACGGAGGAAAATCTGGTTTCCAATGTAAAAGGGAAGGGGATCGAACACTTATACATCTATTTCTGTTTACAAAACAGGAGGAAAACAAACCAGCTGCAGGCTTTGCTGGATGACAGTCTCATCAGAACAAAGCACGTGGAAAACATGGCCATCATCGGCATAAAGGACGCAAAAGTCTGAGCATCAACCTTCGCCTTTAATGTAAGAGATCAAAGAGCGTCCTGGGAAGGGACAGCAGAGGTAGAAACTCCAGGAATCCGGAGCACAAAGTATCAACCGTGGCTGGGAGCAGCGCTCTGCTCCACTCAGTCCACTCGCTGCTTTCAGCCGCGGAGGCCGAGTGACGGGGGTACAGCCTCACTGCTGACCTGGTCGATTGCTGATTTCACATCTGTCATCTTTGGAAGAACGGTGCCGTTTAACTGGCATTTTCAAGGAGTGCTTTTGAACCAGTTTGTGCCCAGTGATTCCACCGGTAAAGCACCGAGACCTGCTGGCGTGGAATGTGCCGTGCCCAGACAATAACCCCAACCCAGAGGGGCCGTACCGGGTTGCCTATGGGGAGCCATCCTGGGCCGTTCTAATTTTGCAAACTGTGCCTGGGAGTTGTTTGGGAAGGTGCTTGCTGGCCCAGGCCACCTGGGCTGTTCTGACAGTACTCAAAACTGCTCCCTGGCACCTTAAATTTTCTGGTATAGATGTAGCTTATCTGTTTTCATTGCCCATCAGCTGATAAACAGCACAATAACAGCACTTCTGCTCACATCATATTATATGACAAAACTGATGTGCCCTCCCTGTAGCAGTCCGCGAGCTCTCTAGGAGCTCAGAAAGGCTCCCCACACCACAGTCACCCTTATGTCACTGGAAGGCACCGCTTCCTCTCCTAGGCCCCATGATACCAGCTCACAAGCACGTCCAGGCAGTTTTTCCAGGGGTACATATTGCCACCCGTGGCACGCTCAGAGCAACGTGTTCAGAAGACGAAGCTCTTGTTAAGATAGCCCTGTCCCTGGAGCGGATTCTCAGCAGAGAGAGTCATCAGTCCACTAGGTAATAGTGGCATTGTTGTTTGTATGTAAATGATCTTTAATTTAAACCACAGCTTTTGGAGATGCCAGTCTGCTGGCTGTTCCACAAGGCAGGTTATGTGCTGAGGTCCAGAGCAAAGTCCTCAGCCAGTGTAAACTGTCACCAGCTCCAGTGACCTGGAAGAATTTCAGGCCAGAGGGATCATTGGATCATCTCGTCTAGCCAGTTGAATATAAATCTGTGTCCCAGCACGCATACACTGAGCCCAAGAGCTCACTGACATGAATGGATTTGTGACTTGTGTGATCATCACTGTGATGAACTGCTAAAAGTTGCACTTCCCTGTGGAAGATCAAGAATATTTGAAATGGGCATCCTTGGGTGAGCTCTGCGCAAGCCCGGGGAAGGCTGCGTCCTACCCTGTGTTGCCTTTAACAGAAGGGCCCACTCACCGCGGGGTGCATTGTCTACCTAGAGAAGTGTTGCTGAGTAATGGGACTACACAGATAGTTATCACAGAGTAAGCAGATTGTTTCAAACGAGCCTTTGAAAATACAGAGGACTCTACAGAAACCAGGTCTAGTTTCAAAGCCAAGCAGATTTTTTTGGTTGGTTGGTTGGGTTTTTTTACATCATAGTTTCAAGTGAGCTATCAGACAGTGGGAGGGTGGAGAGCAGTTCATCACTGCAAAGAGGTGCATTTTTGGCCCATAACGCTGTGTTGTATTTACACAGGTGCCACCAGAGAATGCTGTAAACCTTATCTACGCTTTCTACAAGAACTTACTGCAAGTTAGAAGGGAAGGACTCTGCTTCAAGGGGAAGTACTATAAATGTGTCCGTGCGGATGAGCATTCCATCTATCTTCAAAATGTACGTTCACAAGCGCTGTGGCTGTCCTGAGACATCTGGAGACTTCCTACTTCCTTCCCTTGCTGCCTGGTTACATGAACACCGTAATGCAAGCAGAAAGCCTTCACATGCTCCTTCCTTCCTTCCTTCCTCCCTTCCTCCCTTTTCCTTCTTTCCTTCCTTCTCTCTCTCTCTTTTTTTCTCTCTTTCTCTTTTTCTTTCCATATCAGCTTCCCAGCAGGTGCAGAATACAAAAAAGTGTCAGCTGTGCAATACAGATTTAACAGATAATGCTATTCGTGTCCCTAACACCAGCTGCAGGGCTTGTTATGTTCTCCTTTGAATCATTTCATCTCCCTAAGCTGGGAAAAAAATTATTAAATTTTTTTTTCTGGGTTGTTTTTTTGCCTCATTAATTAATTAACCAGGTAATAGAAGGGCCTGGCAAGCCCATAACCAGAATAAGGTAGCAGGAGCTGGTAACTGGGTTGGGGGAGAGAAGAGACATGGGTGAGCAGGACCTTGTTTGACAGTTTGCTCACCTTGTGGAGCTCCAGCCTCCATAATTTACCTGTGGAATTCAGAAACAGAAACTGCGGACACTGCTGCACGCAGCCATGCTCGAGATGGCACAATTCTGTTACTACTGCCGAGTCACATAATCTGAAGTAAATACATCCAGCTGGGTGTGATCGTGGTCTTCCCCTCCCCAGTAAATCCATCGTGAAATGAGCTAAGCAACTTGCAGAAGAGGCTGAGCAGCTCTCAGGTTCGGATCCTGTTTCAGAGAAATGCCGTGCTTTGCAATGTCTTTTTCCATTTCTTACTACAAATGAGTGAGGCAGAGTCTGTGAGACAGGGTTCTGTAAAACACTGGGCATGCTTCCATGTACGTACTAGTTATTTTATTTGCATTTATCAATGCTTTTGCATGTGACACAGCACTAGGATAACACTTCTTCAAAATGCGGTGCAATAATACATTTATCAATGGAAGTGACAATAGGCAATATAATAAAGCGTTTGACTGACTTGCTTTAATAGTCAGCAGCTTTCAGAACATGCACTGTCACTGTTTCTCTGTGTCCTGGCTTAGCCTTTATGACAGTATTTGCCTTTTTTTCTCCAAGAAAACAGGTATATTGGCAAAGAAAATGCTCGTAATTGGCCCAAATTGTAAGGCAGTCTGTATACCTGTGTATTTTTTTAGAACCTTGTAACCTTATACCAATTTTCCATCTTATCTAGCCAGATGGAGGCCTGATAGTTGTGAAGACAAAGACTTTTATCCTGGTTGCTACTTACAGAGTGGGCATGTATCCCACTGTGTGCGTGGAAGCTGTGGAGAAACTAGGTAAGAGAAATGCCTGCGTGCCAGCGTCTCACGGATTAGCTCTCCCCTTGCAAACAGCTTCAGAAATCAACCTGACAAAGTACCAAATCCTGAAAATCTGGGAAACTGAACACAGACGTGGCTGTGGCTCCACAGCTAAACCCTCTCCAGACATCACAGCCCACTGCGCTCCAGAGCCTCCACGGGTGTGAACAGGTTGCTGAACTCTCTTTCCTTGGCCGTTCTGACACACGTTTCCTGTTAGTTACCCTTCAACCAGACAGGACCTGTCAGTCACATTTTGTTGACCTCATGCACCTAATGCTGAGGTCTTAAGCACACTTCTGCAGAGCATCAGCTTTGATACTCTGCTTCACAGTCCGCTTCTTCAAAGACACGTGAGCTCTCTGAGGGTTTCACACTTTCTCTCTCTGCCTAGTCTCTAGGAGGAAGCTGGAGTCTCTTTTGCTGCATGGGAATCCTGAGACATCATGAAGCTAGTCTCCTTGTCTCACAGTAACAAAGCAGCTCTTCTCTAACAAAAGTGCCCGTTCCTTCCCCTCTCCCGCTCAAGCTGCCTTTGTGTGACTCCTGTTAAGTTCCTCTCTCTTGGGCTCAGGGTTTTAAAGACTTGGTGTTAACATCTAATTCTTTGTTCCCCATTCGTGAGTATTGCAAAACCCAGCCCGTCACAGACCAGCTGCGGAATCCTGATTGCATCTCACGTGTTTTCCCTTTGTGTGGAGGTGCTGGCAAGGATTAACCATGCTTCATTGTCCTTGGTCTGGGAGATAAATAACACGGAAATAAATAGCAGAGTTACACATCTTACATATGGCTGACTCCATATCAAGGATACAATCATTTTATCGTGTCATCCAAACGGATAAAATGCGCAAGAGCCGATTCCCAGAATAGCCTTAATTTTCACCGTAGGGGTAGTTGTAAGGAATTTCTAAGTCGTTTCAAGGACATTTCAAATGTATATGTCCATCTCATTTCACTGAATAGGAATGAAATTGTAGGCCAACTATGCTCCTAGCTTTCATTCCTCACTTAGTTGCCTAAAAGTAAGTGGAATCAATTTGTGTTTTAGGGCATAAGCTGTTTAGGCTGGAATGAGCTATAAGAGGCTCAGTAAGAAGTTTTTCATCAGACCTTTCTCAAAAGGCTTTTACAATTCAAAAAGCTATGATCAAGAACAGGATTTTTGAGGCTATAATGGAGGTTTTAAAACAAACTTGCCTGCTGGCCCCTCAGAAGCCTGGTTCTTGGCTGGTGGGTCTGCACTCGGTGCCAGGCTGGCAGAGACTCCCCTCCCCTGCAGCCTCTCCGCTTCTTCACACTTCACAGCCCCTACACGTTGTTTAACCCAAACACATCTGGCTGCAGACAGGCCAGGAGAAGAGGGAAGTGGATTGCCCGTGTTTTTTGGATCTTTCCTATGTTCATTTCAGCCTCAAATATCAGAGCAACCCCAGGCTGCTTTATGTTATGCTCTGCTTTCTATTGTTCTTGTTAGTGTCTCCTAGCAGGTTGAGCACAAAACCATTGTATCAGCACTGCACTGCCTTGCTTTTCTTGTGCTCCAGACACGATGCTGCCTCATCCCTGTTGTATTTAGCATCTGTGATGGTTCTGTTAAAGATCAGGTATTATAGGTCTTTGTCACTGACATGTGTGGCCAGCACATTCATTTCAAATGATACAAATGCTGGGGGACATTTACGTGCTGGGCTATGAACTGAGGAGCAGAGAGATTTCCCATCCTGGTAACATTTGGCATAAGGTGAGGTCGAACAGCTTCCAGCAGTAACCTCAAGGACGTCCACTGGGTTAAGTCTACTGAGAGCATCAACAGGAGTTCTTAATCACTGGGTCAAAACAGGTATGAAATACTACCAAACCAGAACGGTCCTGCCAGGCAAGGAGTGCTTTCACGGGACTGTTTCCACCCAGGGCAGCAATTAGTGAGACTTTCTAAGAATTGGGACTTACATTTTAAGCTGACTTCAGACTAACTCTGTCGTAGTCTTTTTGTGCAGTAATACAAATGGAGCTGGAGCAGAACCAAAAGGTGCCGTTATGTTATTTATCCCCAAGCCAGTCGAGCTGGCTCAGTAATAAATTTAGGAGCTGTATCACAGCTGATGCCAGCTTCTTTGCTGCCACGGGAGGAAGGCAGAAAGTGTAAAGTTGGGAGATTACAAAAAATGCCAACACTTGCAAAATCCTGTAACAATTTGCACACAAGCTATTTGGTCTTGCAAATAGTCACATTGCCCGTGATCGGCCACTGTTCCTGAGTAAAGTCTGTGTTCCAGGGCCAGATTTGCAGCAGTTTTGACAATGTGCATTCTCTGGAGTTTATTCTAGCTGTGCTGGATTTTCCTTTGCAAAAAGAAAACAAAGTAGCTTTTCTTCGAATGTTACAACAGATTTCTGAAAGTGATATAAATTTAAAGTGCTCGGTGTTAATTTTTTAGAACAGATAATACCTCATGAATATAGGTATTAGTATTTTTAATTTTCAGCTAGAAATACTGCTGTCTTCTTTTCAGTACAGTATAGTCTGAGGTGGATTTGAACTTGGAAAAAAGCATCTCCGTTACAGCAATTCTGTATATGATTTTTATAATTCTTGATTTTTAAAATTTTTAAAATTTATTTCCTTGCATTATTACAGCGGACTACTTTGGAGAGAAAGGTAGCTGAATCAGCAGAAAACTTGAACTTCATCAACCTCAGAAGGACTGCTCAGGAGGAAATGTAGAATTTTGAAGCATTATCCAATTTAAGCAAGAAACGGCTGCTTTACAACATTCCCAGCTGCTGAGTTTCCTTCTGTTTTTTTCAAGAACACTTGAGGGCTCGCTGCTCATAAAAGCGCTACCCTATGCGTCTATCGTCTAAGTTTCTTAACTGAATTAAAAGTCATGTCTTCAAGATTTGGTTTAAGATGGTCTGCTTAATCTTTCTAATGTTCTTTTAGCCTGTTTCAGATAAAAAATATTAATCTCCCTAAGCAAAGTATGTTCTCTAATAGCATTAGAGCTGTGCGTAGCATCACAGACCCAAGGGACGAAGAGAGTTGCTACATTAGCGGATTTTCAGGTCGCCCTGTACGTCTTTGAATATAACAAATAAAACACATTTTTAATGTGTCAATTTGCATTGTTGTTGACTGCTATAGAAAGTTATTTTAAACTGTAGTGGATTGCAAAGTTCTGTGAGGACTGGGGAGGTGGGACAAAGTCACTACCAGGCTTGAATGGGTACTATAAGACATCAAAAAAGAGCAGTCTCAAGAGGACCAGGGTCCATGATCTTTTCATCTTGCATAAAGAAATAAGTGATTAGCAATTTGAGTCACGTGAGAACAAAATAATTTTTAGCTATGTTTGATTCTAAATTAGTTTAGTTTGAAAGAAGAGTTTAAAAGCCTGAATGCAAAAGTCTCAAAATTGATTGGGAAAAAAATCTACAGAAAAATCCCACACATGGACAGGCACACGATTTATCATTTTTAAATACTCTGAAGTCAGTTTTATTCCCTGACAACTCAGACACTCAAGAGCTGGTGACTGGGTCACGGACAGAGGCATGATCTGATCCTTCTCCCTCTGGGGGAAATGGTAAAGCACAACGAAGGGTTGTGATCAGGCGGCTAAAACATCAGGTAGAAACGCGCTGGGCTGATGGATGTGAACCAGTAAACTCTGAACGCTGCTGCCTTACAGGAGCAGAGCACACCAAAGCCTCCTCAGGACGATACGTGGCGTAAGGACTCTCACACGCCCTTACTGCGATTTCTGTAAATCAGAGTTCAGAAATCAAACCATCAGTCCAGTGCTCTGCCCGAGAACACGCAAACGCACAGGGCCAGCAAATCGGCACAGCGAGGGCATTCGACCAAACCTCCCTGCGTGCTGGGGGGAGCAGCGGATCTCCACCTCAGTGCCGAAGGGGAGAGAAGATTTCTGCCTCAATCCGTGCAACGAACCAGGTCCGTGGGTAGAAATAATGGTGAGATGTACTAATACTTCTGACTCTGCTCATGTCTTTCCCTCAGCAGTACAACACAGCCTCATCCTGTTCCACCCCTCGACTCGCTGGGGAATGACCGGTTGCAAGGGCAGAGCTGGGAGAGGAGGAACTGGGATCAGCCTCTGCTCCCGAGGACAGGCTGGGTTCGTCCCTGGTGCGGGGAGCGTCCTCCCTGCTTCACAGCAAAAAGGTGAGTCACAAACTGTGCTGGGGAACTACATAACCTCTTTAAATTGTTGGTTTGGGCCACTGCTGGCAGATCTGACAGTTGAAAGTTGTTGCACTGGGTTGGAAACTTGGTTTTCAGTTCCTGCGGTTTTCTGTGCTTTTGAAAGCAATGTAGGTATTCAGACCCGCACTGCATTTTTTTGTTACATAGACAAGCATTTGTAAAAATGCAGTTTAGTGTTGCAAGAAGGACAAAAGCTTCTTTTGCATCTTATTTTTAATTGACTAAATTTGGACACAAGTAAGAGAGCAGAAGCATCTGTTACGGGGTGGGATCTGGTGGGCTTCCCATTAAAATTTTGTGCTAATAGAGACAAATTTTGTGGGACTGGATGAAATGGTCCAGCTGAAAACAGCATCCAGCCAGCCTCAGAAAGAAAAGCCTTACGTTACATTTTATACAAATAATCGGCAGTGTTTGTTCACCGTAAAATAGCCATAGAGCACCACCCCGTGGGGAGTTACATCCCTGGGGTTTCAGGGTGTTTATCATTCCACATCTGCAGTCCTACAGCAAATAAGCAAGTAGGCGCTTGGCTCTTCCCGTGCAGCTATCATACCGCCAGTGGTTCTTACCCAGGGCATGGTGCTCCGTCAGACAGTGCTGTTGACTTGAAGAGGCTCTGGCTTGCCGCCCACCCTGCGCACATCTTTGGGCAGCAGTGTGTGTTCAGCACAGCACCAGCTCTCGGGACATGAGACAGTCGTTCCCATGGTGATTCTCTCTTCTTCTCATTTCCTTCCACCCAGCACCCAGCGGGCAGAGGGAAGACTGCTCCGGATTTGCTTTTGCCAGGCGGGAGGAGGCTTGACATCTCAGCCCATCTCGACAACTGCTGGTGCCAAAAGCGAGGAGCCCAGGAAGAGTGACTGAGGAGTCACCTGAAAGACTCTTGCGGCAGCGGGACCCTCAGCCAGAGCGCACCAGGCACACAGGAATCACCTGCTGAGGCAAGGGAGATAAGCAGGGGTTTTCAAACCCATCTGCCAGCTTTCATTCGCACTAAGTCACCATTGTGCCTTTGTCTGTCTTCAAGTTGCCATCTACGGGCTGAATCATAAGGCAGCACTTCACATAATCTTAGATGCGTCCAATAAAGGCTCTTTCTGCTGAGAGTTTTAAAATCCCATTTGTGTCTACTATTGTCCTGCTGAGCACTGAGGCCCTAATCATGAAGGAAGTCGAGAGCAAAGGATTTTATTTCCATTTGCACGCTACCTTTTACAGTTAAGGTGGGTGTGCGGTCAGTGCTGCTGGAGCCACGCGTGGCTGCGTGCAGGGTTAAGGCCTACGTCTCGATGCAAGGTAACCTGTGTGGTTTCTCAAATGGCTTTTGCAACGATATATTGTGTCCCAAAGTTAATCTATTTCATTGCATTATTATGACTCCTCAGCTTTCTCTGGCAGCCCTCCCCTCTCCTACCTTCTCACTGTGCCACAGTTTGCATTGTCTGTCTGCAGAGTGGAATTTGCAGAGCTGTGGTTACTGCATTCATGCTGGGTATTTTTTTTTTTCCCTCAGGGAAAATGTTGGCAGTCTATTTTGATTGCCCGGGAGGCCCAGAAAATCTCTATGTGAAAGAAGTGATGCAACCACACCCAGGAGAAGGAGAAGTTCTTGTGAAGGTCTCTGCCAGCGCTCTGAACAGGGCTGATTTACTCCAGGTATCATAGAATCACAGAACGGTTTGGGTTGGAAGGGACCTTATAGATCATCTCATTCCAACACCCTGCCATGAGCAGGGACCCCTTCCACCAGACCAGGTTGCTCAGAGCTCCATCCAGCCTGGCCTTGAACACTGCCAGGGAGGGGGCAGCCACAGCTTCTCTGGGCAACCTGGGCCAGGGCCTCACCACCCTCACGGTACAGAATTTCTTTCGTATATCTAATCTAAATCTACATCTACCTTCTTTCAGTGTGAAGCCATTACCTCTTGTCCTACCACTCCACATCCTTGTAAAAAGTCCCTCTCCAGCTCTCTTGTAGGCCCCTTCAGGTACTGAAGGCTTCTGTAAGGTCTCCCCGAAGCCTTCTCTTCCCCAGGCTGAACAGCCCCAGCTCTCCCAGCCTTTCCTCACAGCAGAGGGGTTCCAGCCCTCGGATCATTGCTGGGGCCTCCTCTGGCCCCGCTCCAACAGCTCCAGGTCTGTCCTGTGCTGGGGGCTCCAGAGCTGGACACAGGACTGCCAGGGGGGTCTCACCAGAGCGGAGCAGAGGGGCAGAATCCCCTCCCTCACCCTGCTGCCCACGCTACTGGGGATGCAGCCTGGGACGTGGTTGGCTTTCTGGGCTATAAGCGCACATTGGTGGCTCATGTCCAGCTTTACATCCCCCAGTACCCCCAAGTCCTTCTTGGCAGGGCTGCTCTCAATCCCTTTATCCCCCAGCCTGTGTTGATAGAAAGGGTTGCCCTGATGCATGTGTAGGACCCTGCACTTGGCCTTGCTGAACCCCATGAGGTTCACATGGGCCCACCTCTCAAGCTTGTCCAGGTCCCTCTGGATGGCATCCCATCCCTCAGGCGTGGCGACTGCACCACTCAGCCTGATGTCATTGAAAATTTGCTGCAGGTATTTGCATGTTAAGCAGATTTAAGCACCTGAAAACACCACCAATTTTTCAAGCTCCTGTCTGAACTCTTGACAAGTCGAAAGAGTTAAAAGAGATTGGACCCGGTGAGCATTTGGATGGGAGAGTTCATAGGGCTGAAAGAAGAGATGTCTGTTGATTCAGCAGATTCATGTTTTTATCTGGGTCACTGCAATGCTGGGGTGGCATGGAAAGGCAGCTGCCTTTCCAGAAGATGTAAAACCAAAGCTCTGGTCTTTCTATCTGCTTAGACCATTCTCTGGGCATTTGAGATGAACATGAAATGTTCCACTGGCTCAGTTCCAGTGGGGGAAAATCACATTCAAATTATTAAGTCTGAGCTGCTTTAATTCGAGCTGAAAGCCATGTTCTGCAACTGGCGACCACAAGACCTCCCCAGCATGGATTGGCCTGGACAAAGGGGACACGAAACAAATGGTATTTGCACGGAGAGTTTTAAGAATGAAACATTCTTAGGGAACAAGAAGTGTTGCCAGAGGATAGAAGATCCTCAAATTACTGGAACATCTGCACAGTGCAAAATCAGGATTAAATAAATAGGAATTCAGGTTGGAGGCATGTGAGTAAAATATCGCAGGTCATTAACGCTCATTGATGTGTGGCTTTTCCTTCCCTGCCCTCTCTTTTCTTGTGTTTCAGAGGAGAGGGAAGTACCCTCCCCCCAAAGGAGCAAGTGATATTTTAGGCTTAGAAGCAGCTGGGAGCGTGGCTGGGCTCGGGCCTGGCTGCAAGGGCCCGTGGAAGATTGGCGATGCAGTGATGGCTCTGCTCTCCGGAGGCGGCCAGGCAGAGTACGTTACAGTACCCGAAGGTCACCTGATGCCAGTT